TCAATTCCATCAGGTCCAATACCGCGCCGCGGGATATAATACTGTAATTGAGCAGAACTAAACTTAGGGTCACTGCGAGCGAATCCCGAGAGTCAGACTTTCGTAGTCATAACAGTATCTTTCTCAACCGGTGACAAGTTACATTTAGCCTTCTGACTTTTGGTTTGGATTAAGTCTATAGACTTAATCCACATGTTATAACATGTGGTATGTGACCAGTATAGTCAAATAATACGAACGGGACAAAATAAAGATTACAGCATGAATACTTTGTGATAAAAAACAATGTACATAAATATATGTGTACAAAATTTATGATAAAGATAAACAGGTTTATTTTTATGATTAAGCGAAAAAGATAATAAGTGATGCAGAAGTCAGTTTTTGTGTTTAAAATAGAGTTCAACATGTTCGTTCTGTTTGATACCTCTCGTTTTAGGGCCAGAAGAAACCATCTTAGTAGTGATTAGGTCTTTATTCAGATCGTGGAACAGAGCTTTTGAAGCATGAGGTTGTCTTTTTAAAAGAACCAAGTTTTCAACATTCAACACAAAATAATAAGAAATATGATGCCTGTATAAAATATGAAAGTTAATAAATACTTGTGTCATAATGTTTCGCTGCTACTAAGGTGTTCGCGGCCAACTCTGCACCAATCAATTCCAGTTGTCACACAACTACAATGTCTTGCACCTCTTCCAGAGTTTCTCCACCAAGTGTGATTTGTTCGCCGTTTATTGTTTCTTATTCATGGAACTTGCTGTTCATTGTATAGATGTTGAGGCTTTCTGCTGTGGAAAACATTTTTACACTATTTTATCTTTGTCCAGGTTTGTTGCTGTGTAAGGAGTTACAATCACCACTCGTATTTTATGGTGTCGATGGAGATTATTGACTTGGAATATTTTGTATGAACTCAATAAATGATCATACTAAACCAAGATTTATCCAGTTATACCTGCCTAGGGTTCTTTTGTATTGGGCAAGAGGCTTTTTATGCATAAATTACTCTGTACTTTGTTAAAAAAAATGTGGAGAACCAATGAAAATATGAGAATATCATAAATCAGTCCATTTTTTAAGACTTATAAAGGGAATCAGCTTATTAAACACAAAAATAAATGTATGCGAAATATGAGTTACTTGTTATTGTCGAATGGGTGGGTGTTATAGGTCCAAATATGTATTCATGATTGTGATAATGTGGAAACAATAATTCCAAGCAATATTAGATATAGATCAAGATTTTCTTGTGTGCGATTCAAAGGGAATAAGCTGAATGACTTGAGCTAACAAGTATGTAAGCGGATTATCAGAAAGCGATTTGTACTTATGGAATCTCCCGATGGCCGATGAGCATCAACAAGCAAATTCTATGCCGCGACTCTGTGCCCAGTCAAACCAGATCATATTGTCAACTGCCTTGCAGTACACATTAGATTCAGATTCAGATTTCAAATTTGTGTAGTAAGGACAGAAGGCCTACGGCCTATTTTATTCCTTTTCTAGTATGCTTCTGTGAGTGTCCAGTCTTCTCTTGAAAGAGTCAATTGAAGGTGCGGACACCACTGCTTCAAGCAGCAGGTTCCAAGTATTGATGACTCGGTGTGAAAACCTGTATGCCACGGGTATTTTGTTCGTTCTTGGCTTTTCTACTCGCCTGCTATGTCCTCTGAGGTGTCCCGATCTAGTGGGAAGAAAGAGAGAGAATAAGTTAGGTCCGAAATCATTTCTCAGTATTCTGTACATCAATATTAGATCTCCCCTTAGTCTGCGATAGGACAGAGTAAAGAGGTTCAGTTTTTCAAGCCGCTCTTTATATGATAAACCCCGGAGTTCCGGAATTGCACGCGTAGCTGCCCTCTGTACCTTTTCTAGTATGTCTGAGTCACCTTTTGAACAGGGACTTGCAGCCTGAACACAGTTCTCTAACTTAGTTCTCACCAAGGATGTGTATAATGTGGTGAACATGGTAGTATCAAACTTAGTGAATGTCCTTTTTAAAGCCCAGAGGGTTCGAAACCCCTTAACTGCGACCTCCTGGCAATGGGCCGTCGTCTTAAGATCATTACTCACTGTCACCCCTAGATCCTTATGAGACTGGACTACGGGTAATGACACATCCCTATGTTGTACTTATTAACCTCTGAATCCACCAAGTGCATGTAGACACACTTTTCCGCGTTGATAGGCATCAGCCACTCTTTATACCAGTTTATCATATTATTTAAGTCTGCCTGAAGAGTAAATGCGTCAAAAGCCTTACTGAAATCTATGTAGACAACATCCACTGAGTTTCCGTTGTCTAGCGCATTAATCCAGAACTTCCTTGCTATAAGGAGGTTCGTTGTACAGGATAAACCCTTTCTAAAACTATGTTGTGCCATGTTCAGAAAGTTATTGGTTTCCATAGATGCTGTTATGGTCCGTTTGATTATTCTTTCCAGTATTTTAATTACCACACTGGTGAGGCTTACGGGTCTGTAATTCGATGGAACTTGTCGTGGACCTGTTTTATGTATGGGAGTGATGATTGCGTCCTTCCAGTCCATAGGTAACACACCTTGGTCAAGTGACATATTGAACATCACAGTCAGTGGGGCCACGATATATTGGGCAATATGTCTCAAGATTTTAGGGTGTAGTTCATCTGGTCCTGTTGACTTCTTCATGTTTAGGGTGCTAAGAGCCTTAAGCACATCGTTTTGGTCGAAGTCCACGGTGAGCAGCTGGTTTGTTGACTCTGTATTTGGGTCTGGTTCTTTTTCTAGAGGAGGTTCCTGCGTGAAAACTGCCCCAAAATATTCAGCCATAACCTCTGCTTTTTCCCGATCTTCCTCTGTCATTTCAGATTCACTCCCTTCTTTAATTAGGTTGGGAATCCAATGATGCATCCTTGTTCCGTAGTTTATGTGTGAGAATATTCTCTAGGGCTGCTTGAGTGCAGATTCTGCCAGCTGCATTTCATATTTTCTTCGGGCTTCACGAATTTCAGTTATACACTCGTTTCTTATCGATCTGTAGCGTTCCATCGTACCTGCTGTGCCAAGGCGGGTGGCACCATCCCAGCATTTCTTCTTTTGTCTTAGTAAGCGTCGAATATCCCGCCCTATCGAGGGATGTCCGTGCTTCTTTTTCTTTGGAACTGTCCAGGGTATATATGGTTGAGTTACCCGATTGTATAACTGCCTGAATAGAGTCCATGCCTATTGTTCTGATGCCCTTGAGTCAATTTCCCAGTTTTCAGCCGATGCTGCGGAGTTAGTTGCCTGCATATCTGCCTTTCATATGTTGGGACGGGCCGGTGCAACTGTTTGACTTTGAATAAGATGACTGCATGGTCACTTCTCCCTAGTGGTGAGAGAAAAGCCATTTCACCGACGTCATCACCGTGTGTGAAGACTAAATCTAAAAGAGAGGAAGAGTTTCTTAAGTCGTATCTTGTTGGATCTCCAATGTGTTGGAATTGTAGTGTCAGTTATCATGCCAAGCCCATATACCTTATTCTAACTTCCGGACATCCTATTTTATTCATTTTACTTGAGCCATATTTTGACCTTGTCAATTATTCGCTTATCAACTAGACTGTTTTTATATGAGCGTATATGTGTGTGCACTTCTTATTTCATTAATCACATGTCTGTACCTTTAATTTGTCTGATTATAAATATTGAGTAATGCTTGACTAAAATGGAGTTGGCTTCCCAGCCATCTTCCATACGTGTCAAAATTGCTTTGTTATGGCTCTCGCTCGCTTAGCATGCGAACGGGCATCCTCAGAATAATGCTAATCCAATCGAGGTTTTTAACAGTTTGCAGTCGAACGACGATATGGATGACCCTACTTCTAAGTTAACCCAGTTTATATGTGGTGCATTAAAGTCGCCTACTACAATACTTTTACTGTTGTTACACCAGGACTTAAGTTTACTTAGGATAAAATCATCTGCTACACATTCTGGACTGCGATATACTACAACTGATTCAATATCTTGCCGTCGGCATCTCAACTTACATTTCACCAGTTCAAATGTCCCTGAAACATATGCTACTGTCTCAGCTAATCTTATGGTTAGGGTACTTTTCGTGTAGAGAATAACCCCGCCTCCCCTACGGTTTAATCTATCAGCCCTACTGGTTATGAAACCAGTCAACTGGATTTCACTATCTAATACTTCTGAAGTGTTAGTCAGGAGTAAAAAAAGGTACTCAGGACAAAATTTAGCAAAAAATTTCAAACTTTAATCAAAGTACTTCAAGTTAAAGTAGACCAAGAATGCTTTTTGGTGCAATAAGTACCCAAAGCAAGTATAATCACAACAAAATCACTGCCCTTTTTGAAACGAGCGTGGTAACGAAGATAGTACAGGCAAATCATAGCCAAATTCAGTAAACAAAGGTTTAATCAAAGGCAGATAATTATCGGAGCTCGGTCACGTGAGCCCTGGACGGAGTTGACATGAACGGAAAAGAGGAGTAATATTCGAGGGAAAATATTAAGACTACATAAAACACGGGAGAATTTTCAAAACACTTTGTAACATTAGGTACTCTGGCCTTTTGATGGCATAATAAGTGGATCACTTTTTCCCTGAAACCTGAGCATGGATGGCGGGAGAACCACTCAACAAATGGAAAGTCATAATTCTTCTTATGTTTATTCTGTAACTTATGGGTAAAGCAAGTGATCATGGAGTAATGGTTAAGGCAGTTACACTCACTACCCACAAAAGTAAAAAATACCGAGCCTTTTCCTGAGAGGCCCTGCGTAAGATGGTGTCACTTTCATCCCTGGTAAGGAGCTCCAGAGTTTGGTAACTTACTACGAAAATAGGGAACAATAAACGTGCTAACAAAAATAGCATGAAGCAGAACAGCGATAAAAATAAATTTTAAAAACTAAGATAAGATATAGGAGTCAAACTGTTACGAGTGTTTTCAATCTTAACAGTAACATCGCTTTGTTGTTTGTTTGCTTCACTAGGTTTTGGGCACTCACTACAAATATTTTATATGACGGCGGGATGGATGTAGGTGATTTCGTTGTATTTGTCTTTTGTGTACATGATTAAATTATCGTATTGAGATTCTGCCCCATCTTCGGAAATAACATCATCATTAAACTTACGGTGTACCACTCATTCAAAGTCTGTTTTTATCACTATAAGTTGATAACCCCAATCCTCAAAGTTGATTCATGATAAAGATTCAAATCTCAAATTGCACTTCGTGCACCACCAACATAGTTTTATTGGTCGTTATCAACTACCTCGTAGATCCAAAATCAGTGATTGCTGCCTGATTCCTTTCTAACCAGAGCAACACGTTTCTCCATGTTTTAGTGATGCTTATTCTAGACAACGTTAATTACGGTACTGTAAATCGGATTCATTTTGTCGTTCGGTCCTGATAGTCTTCGTCTAGCACTTTAGTTTGGGTAATCTGAACGAGTCAGCTTGGGTACATTATCTTGCTCTGTTATGTCAACTCTCCAGTCACATCGAAAATTTACATCTGGTGAAGTGTTATATTATTGTCTCACCGTATGTCATTGGGAGGTCTGATGTGGATGAAGGTTGGTACGTTTCGTCATAAAATCCCTCAAGGACCACTACTATTGTTACGGCATTCGCATTCTGTGATCGAAAAATATAGTGGTCTTTCTGTGTGTCTAGTTACATAAGACTTAATTAATCGTTCTCTGAATAATAGATTAGTTATCCTCATGCACCAAATTTGCCCTCAGGTTTTTAGTTCCAATATAGTTTGGTTTGTTTATCCATCTAAATATAGTCACGAATTTTTGCGTTAAATTGCTTTTCTGTTCATTCCATTCTGATAGTCCACTTTTGTTCCACACACAGGTACATTACAAGACGTATGCTGGCAGAAGTAGCCGTGATATCAGGTTTGATCAGCTGCTGCACACAAAACCCTTATCTGGCTCTTCATCCACAGCATTCTCTAAATCAAGTGTTAGTTCTAGAAAAAGGGTCAATGTCGTTTCTTTTGTACCCACTGGTGAAGGGCAAGAATTAGTAACTAAATCTCCTGACAAAACCCTGTCGGAAAATTCAGATAGCTCTGCCTGTACAGGTGCAGTGCAGGCAAATATATCTCAGTCATTTTTACCCCATTCCTCTACTGAAAGTGTTACCACCGATTCACCCATCCTGTCATATTCCAGTGCACATAAAGAATGTCCCAGTCGTCCACCGAATATTAACATGACAGGCAACAACTCTTTTGGTCATCCTTCTGATTGTACATTAGATCTGCGTTCCATTCGGAGTACAAATTGCAAGCCTGATCATTGTCGATCAGACATTGCTTTAACTCCTTTGTCATCCCACACTCCTACTATACAACGCGTTTCATCCCCAATTCCCCACCGAAACGTCACCAATTACCATAGTCACCCAGTATGTATTTCAAAACCTGCTAGTCAGCCAAAATTGCAAGGACTAGATAAAAGTCAAACTAGTTTGGTTGTGACCATACCAAACAGCTCCTTAAAAACACAGGCATTCGTTGACATCTCCAAGAATAGTCGTGAACGGAGTCTTCCTTACTCCTGCCCTACCTTTACGTTAGAACCTGAAATTGCTTCAGATGCCAGTGCTTCAAAATCGTCTTCACGACCAATTCTCAGCGGTAAAAATAAAAGAGTAAGTGGCACTATCCCCTTTTGGAATGTTTACATAATCCTGAAAATGATTTTTGTTTTCATCCTCTTTAATCGATTTCAATAACAAAGCTATCATGTAATCCATCTTGTAGCATACCTTGTAATATATATATATATATATATATATATATATATATATATATATATATATATATATATATTGGCGAGTCTCACTTAGCTTACGTCCATATTGTATTTGTAAGAATCAGTATTGCTACTTGGTCTAAGATTTACTTATTGGCATTTCAATTGCATATGCTGTTTCCCGTGTGCAAATTGTATACCGTTACGTATATGTCTAAACTTGCGGCTGATGGATAATTGCTCTGAATATTTAACCGCCTCTAAAAGCATGCGTCGTGACACAAATTGGTTGTATAATGTCAAACATTATTCCACAAATTTTGATATAGTACACTTTTTTAACGTGTTTTAAAAAGTTTGTATCGGCAGAATCAACTGTCATCTAAAGTTGTAACCTACAAATCCGAGTTTTGCTAAATCTTAATGAAGTAGGTGGACTGGGGTTCGAACTCGGGACTTGGTAGTTGAGAACCAAACCCCCTAACTACTGAACCTCTGCCTCACAAAACCGTGGTTTCCGACTGGCGGAACAAGGTTAAGAGTGGTCAAACCAATATAAGCCTACAGTCAGTCAGTAACAACGTAGAACTTCGTACGTACGTACATCAGTTCGAGTTGCCACACCACATTAGCACAGAAATGCAGTGGTCGACTCAAATCCCGTAGTGGTAGAGGTAATAAGAGTATAAGCAGTAATCGGAAAAATTAGTGTTTGGATATGTTATTTAAAGAGTATAATACAGTGAGATAAATTTGGGAAGAGAAAAAAGGAGACAAGGAGGAATAAGGAGATCAAAATTTGGGAGAACACAAAGAGTGTATGCACCTGCGTCATTGCAAACGATTTTGAGCCATGTCATTCAAGGTCTCTAACCATCGGTTGCTATCATCTCGCGGTCCTCAACCAGGTAGTCTACACCTACCGACATGACTCAGTCCACTTGTCAGTGACTTTATGATCTTGTGCCTACAAGTACATAGAATTACAGACTGTTGGTCTAGGTTTTGTCAGTGTCGGTTTAAAGTCATATGAATGATATAGTCTGTAATTTAGAAATATGTGATACAGTTTGACATTAATGATAAGGACAAATGTATTCATTCTTTACCTTTCGAAACTTCGCTCACCTCTATTTATTTGCTATCTTTTTGCCTTGTTTTTTCCTGTCACAAATTATTTTAGCTTGAGTTGATCTAGTTTGGCTGAAGATAGTGTCAGTCTATCCATTTGTTTAGAACATAGAATCCCTTTTTCATGACAGAGTAGGGCGTGAAACAAATGTCCATTAGTCCAAATCACCACGTTTCACATCACAAAGTGAAATTAACAAGATTATAATCAAAGATATTAAAATATAAGTGGATGTGGAAAACGACCTATGAAATATACCCAGAGGGTTCCGAGTGTTGTTATAAAATGAATGAATCCAGGTATTCAAATGAATAATATACTAGGACTTCGACAACTAGATGTGCATCACTCCCGTGTTATAGGCAGCGCAAGTTTGTGAAAGTCAAGCGAGCTTTTTGAATATGTTCTGATTTTCCTTTAGATATCAATCCAAATGGTTTGGTTAGACTCTCGATATATACGGCCTTGATCGCTTCTAAATGTTGACCAAGGATATATCCACAAATATTGTAGTACTAGCCGGAAACTTGAATGCTCAGGTCGGGCGTCTAGGCACAGAAGAGAGTCATTTAGGTGGCCGATGGGGACTTGTTGGTCGCAGGACAGATAACGAGGACCGTCTACTGTAACTGCGCACAGACCACAACCTGTTTCTGGCTAGCACTAACTTTCGGCACAGTCATCGCCGACGTGCCACCTGGCGTCCTTCCTCTGCATCTCAAGCCTGGACTCAGATTGATCATATCGCGATCAGCTACCGCTGGCGTGGTTGTGTACAAGACTGCCGCTCCTTTTGAAGTACCTATCTGGACTCTGATCTGCGTCAATCTTACCTTACTTTTCAGTGGCCAACGAAGTGACCACCACCAAAGGATTGATGTCAGCAAGCTGGTTGCAACTTCTGTTGCTAGTAAGCATAGAACCGAGCTAGTTTCTAGGCTAGCTCTCATTCCACCGAAAAGTATAGATGAGCATTGATTGCAATTGTATGACGCCATCAAAATGGCGAGTAAAGTCAGTTGCGGCTTCGCGAAACGTCCCGCTTGTAACCACAGGGTTTCTTCTGGTTCCTTACAACTCATTGAAGCCCGTCGGTCTACTCCGGATGACCGTGAGTTTGACCACAAACAACGACTGTTACGTAATGAGATTGAGCAAAGCTTGCTTAAGGACCGAGAAACCTGGTGGTCGGAGAATGCTAATGAGCTGGAAGCAGCAGTTGCATCTGGTAACTACCGGAAGCTCTTCCAACTCATCCGAGCCACTGGCAGCAAGAAGTCTGGTGTGAGCGAAGCAATCTGCGAGAATGACGGGATGCCAATCACTAACATCCATCGACATCTTGGACGATAGGCAGAATTCTTCGAAGGTCAGTTCAACTGGCCTGCTGCTCCGGCAACATCGGTCAGACTGTCCTGCCCACCAAATGAGGCGGAAGTCCGCAAGGAACTCCAACTCTTGAAGCGTTACAAATCACCGGGCCCAGATGACTTACCTCCGGCTCTTTTTAAAGATGGTGGTGACTTTCTGACTAAGGAACTGATGACGTTGTTTACAAAGGTTTGGGAACTAGAGAGTGTACCAACGTCATGGAATGAGTCGATAGTTGTCCCTGTCTTTAAAAAAGTTCACATCGTTCCTGTAACAACTATCGGGGGATAAGTCTACTTCCGATTGCGTCCAAGCTATTGGCTTCCGTCATACGTCGTAGGTTGTTCAAAACCCCAGAAAGATTGACTCGCGAGAAGCAGGCTGGGTTTCGTTCTGGTCGAGGATGTATTGATCATATCTTCACCCTCCGCCAAATGTTAGAACACCGTCATACTTATCAAAGGTCAACAATCGTGGTGTTTCTTGATATCAGGACTGCCTTTGATTCGTTGGACAGGACTGTTCTCTGGGATCGTCTTTTGAAGAAGGGTGTGCCTGAGAAGTTTATTAACATCCTAAAAGCCCTATATACAAACACCTCAGGCAGAGTGAGGGCGTACAACCACCTCTCTCCATTGTTCCATTCGAGCAGTGGGGTTAGGCAGGGTTGCCCAATCTCACCATTCCTCTTCAACTTTGCCATCGATGACATTCTGGAAACAGCTCTGATGAATGTAAGTAATGGTGGTGTGGATCTGTTGCCTGGAGAAAGACTTCTCGACCTTGAGTATGCGGATGATATTGTTTTACTGTGCGATAATGCCCAAGGCATGCAATCCGCACTTAATCAGTTGGCAATCAGTGTCCGTAGGTATGGTATGTGCTTTGCACCTTCGAAGTGCAAAGTACTTCTACAGGACTGGCAGGATTCCAATCCTGTACTCACCCTGGATGGTGAGCAGATAGAAGTATTCGAGAAGTTCGTGTATCTATGTAGCTGCATAAGTGCTGGTGGTAGCGTGAGTGATGAGATCAATGCACGTATCATGAAAGCCAGAGCGGCTTATGCCAATCTGGGCCATCTTTGGCGCCCTCGTAATGTCAGTCTGGCTGTAAAAGGTCGGATCTACAACGCGTCGGTGAGAGCACTTCTGCTCTATGCTTGTAAAACCTGGCCTCACTGAGTTGAGGATGTTAGACGACTTTCTGTGTTTGATCATCGTTGTCTCCGAAGGATTGCCGACATTCAGTGGCAACACCATGTCAGTAATGCAGAGGTTCGGCATCGTGTGTTTGGGCGCAGAGACGATGATGCAATTGGTATCACCATCTTGAAACACCAACTTCGGTGGCTTGGACATGCTCTACGAATGTCGTCCCGGAAAATTTCACGTCGTGCATTATTTGCTGACTCTGGGACTGGTTGGAGAAAGCGGAGATGTGGTCAGTATATGACATGGTGTCGTGGCATGAAAGAAAGCTGAAAAGGACTGGCTTGTGTTGGTCCTTCACGACCCCCTGGTTGGGGCTCGAGAGATGATGCTACACAGTAGCTAGAGACGTTATCAGATATGTCTGAGAATAGAAGGCAGTGGTGATCCTGCTGTAACCTTCTTTTACTTTCTTCATTAAAAAAAATGGTTGTATCTTCCTTAACTGAAAGATTTCTTCTGGTTGTGCCTTTCCGTTTCCCCCATTATTATTATTATTATTATTATTATTATTATTATTATTATTATTATTATTATTATTATTATTATTATTATTATTACACTACCTTACACTAATCTGGTCGTTATTGTTCCTCTTCTTTTTCTTCTCTTACGCCCCTTACCTTTTTCTCCCCCTCCTCATTGTTTTGTGTTGCGCATATATATTTGGTGTCCCCTTGTACCAATATTTATGTGTTCAAATAAATAGAATAAATAAATACACCTACGCCATCGTGATCGGTTCTCAGCCATGTCACCAAGAGTCTCCAACCATTGGTTACGATAGTCACGCGGACCCCAACCAAGTAGTCGGCATTTACCAACATGGCTCAGACTACAAGTTAATGTCTTCAAGCACTGATGCCACGTTTTGGTTTGACCGCCCCTAACTTTCTTCCAGCCATCCCGAACACTGGTTAGCATTGCATGTTGTTGTAATTGGGGTTCAGATATACGTAGCATGTGGCCCAACCATCTCAGTGGATGAAGATTCACAACCTCATCAACTGATTTACCATCATTCCCTAGTACCCTGCGTCTAAGATGTGTGCTTTTACTCGATCCTGCATTAATTATGATTAACTGACTGACCATGCCAATGTGAAGTGCGATGATCTCAGCCAATATACTTTTGTATCGTCTTAAATTATGTAAATTCATAATATAGGTGTAACTACGCACAGTCTCTGCAAGAACTAAATTCGCATTGTATTTAGAATTATTTATATTCAGCATACATCTAATCAAATTTTGTTAGCGATTGAATAGAATTTTAAAACCTGTGTTCTTTTTAAATTTATCTTATCAGGCAGCCTACAATCCACGTTCTTGGCAGAAAGAAATTGAAACAGACGATAGTTCTCCAACAAAGCTGGTAGGTTTCATTTCCGCTGATTAAAATTTGTTTGCATACCCACGAAATTCACATTCCGAATTATTTGTGGTTAACTTCAAATGATACGTGCTGGAATAAAGAACGAACATACAGGCAGTCAGCCTTGATTACTATGAGTCATATAAAAGGTGCATCATTGAGTCAATGGTTTTGAGAAAGCAAAACTCCTTTAGAAGAAATAATTGATAATATCAGTCTTTAGTAGTAAGGGTATTAGGTTGTCTAACGTGTATTAATCCTTTCAGCTCGTTTTCCACTGACGATCCAGCTTCTCGTTAAGTGTTGATTAATAGGGCTGATACCACTTGTTCGGGTAGTGCGTTCTAGTTACTGAACACTAGATGAGAAAAACGGAATCTCATTCTAAGCTTATTTGATTCCAATTTCTGGACGTTCTTGCTGTGGCCTCGGGAATGATTAGTTCTAGAGAGAGCGAAAAGACAAAACGTTAACATCCAAATCATTATTTAAGATACCCGATGCCAATATAAGCTCACCTCACATCCTGCAATAGGATAAGGGGGAAAGGTTTAAGTTTAGAAAAACCCTTAACTAATTTGGTTCCCACATGTTGAAGACTCTTGAGTGTGTTGATATCCCCACTAATCATATGGACTAGCTGCTTGGATGCAGTACTGTCAAGTCTCAGGTGAGCTATAAAACCTGAAACATGTCAATGCATTTGAATGCTCGGCGAGGTGATCATGACATTCGAAGACTTTTGGTAGCTTTTGGGTTGCAATACTCACTTGTGACTTAATATTTTGAAAATCGTGTTCAAGGCTTTCAATTGTGTTGCTATCGTTTGCTAACCACTAACTAACGGAAGCTTTTTTCCAGTGTCCCTTTTGTTTTGACTCAAATCAATCCATCCATTCATACCATCTAATTTGTCTTTTGAGTGTTGCTATCCTCACATTGCACAGTTGCATCCGCATCATCAGGAGCGTTCAGAGTAAGTGCACTTTCTTTAGGTGGTAATTTCTTTCTCTTGACGATGAAAGACATTACGATTACTTTGAACAATAGTCTGGACAGGGTTTCTTTTTTCTTTGAAAATGTTGACAATGGAAGTCTCAGCTTTTCGATCAAGGTTATGAACTGAGCTGACAGCACTAGCCATTACACTCGTAATTTCTGCGTGTGATGTCAGAATCACTGTCCGAGTATCATCACTTGGCACCTTGTCTATCAGAGTGAGAGGTTCCGAGAATTCATTTAGGAGAATCAATTTATTCATACAGCATTCTTTACACAACCAGAGTGAAGCCGGTTTGGAGCTATATTTATGCGCGGCCGGCGATAGATTGATGTACATTTTGTGGAACCATCTCTTACAGCTGTCACACTGCATGCCATCAACAGGAAAGAAACAATGTCCGACCACATCAATGAATTTGAATGACCATTTTAACCAATATCGTGTGCATAAAAGGAAGAAAAATTTTTTAAAAAAATAACTAGTCACAAAAAGTAGAAGAATGATAATGTTACTACGGTGACTGCAAAATTATGTAAAAACGGTAACTAACTAGTGATAGTTAAAGCAACAAAATGTTAAAATGGTAAGCAAACCTAGCTCTAGGATAAAAAAAGACTGGGAAGCGGTAAACATGAATACACAGATGCTCATCATTGAAAAATAACTTTAACTAATGTAATTTAAAGTAGAAAGTACATGGGAAAGTATTTCACAAACTCAAACATCATCAAAAGAGTTAAATATAAGTTTAAATCTCGGCTATAATACAACAGAGATCTAGTATTTCAAAGCCCCCAAATGCCCTGGTACGGCCGCGAGAGAGGGGAGAGACCGCTCTCTCTCTCTCGAAATGCTCTCACATGGCCACGCGTATATAGCCTCTGTCAGGGAAGTCCTACTTACCGCCTTCTCGTGGCGAGGGTGTTGTTTACGAAAATGAGAGGACGAAAAGCGAATGTCCGGCGCTTTAACCGGATTCCAAACCAATGGTGCACATGGGCTGCAGTATCCCGAAGGAACAAAGGGCGTATGAACCGATCGTTGGTCACCGGCTTCCATGGGACTGCATCTCCTTACGATGCTCCACTGCCTTGTAGATCAGACCTTCAGGTCGAAGGCTCGTTGTGTGGCCCTCTAAGAAAACCACCTGCCTCGGCTTAGGCACCCGGTCAGTATCACAGCCCTCACACATATCAAATGAAATCTGTGTGACGCATATGTATTTGGTGCCTCCTTGTACCAATATCTGTGTTAAAATACATTTTAAGCAATTTAAAAAAACGTATGAAAATCCACTTCCTTTTCTCAAATCGCGCACATTCACCTAGGTTCGTAATAGATGTCGTGTTTACCCTGTAAAGATCATTTTATGCTTCTAAAGCGGTATTAATGGAACAGTATGATTAATTTGTAGTTTGAAAAAAATTTTCTTGTTGTTATGCTTACTATGAATGAGTTTTCTTTATCAACGGTATGGTTTATGTATAAATTCTCTATCGCTTTTTTTTCTTGTTTTAGCAAAAAGTCAATGAATCCTCTCCGTGTTCACAAAATCAAAGTCAATCAACAATGGAATCCCATCATTTTTCTACTAAAGATACTTCATCTTTAGTTAATCAAGAAGATTGTAACATGAAAATTCATAAAAATAATATTGACAATTTTGCATTTGATGAATATGAAGAAGAAATGAAGAATAATTTTGATGCTTTACATCCATACAAATATTCAGTCAATGATAATCATCCTGTAAAATATTGTGATAAACTAGTTGAAGAGGATGAAGACTTAGAAGATGATGTTAAACCTTGGTTCCGTCCTGCTTCTCGTGATGTATCTAGTAAAAAGCTATCTAACAGTACGAAGAATATAAAAGTTAGCCGAACAGACAAGCCTGTAAGTATTCTTCTCTGGAATAAATACTATCAAAAACTAATCTCATTTTTCTAATGTTACATTTATCTGTCGCTGTGTATTGTTTTAATGCTGATTCATTTATATAGACTTTATGTGATAATCCCTTTTGTTGTAGTTGAGTACTAATATGTACCTCGACTACCAGTACCAGTAAGCTGCACTAATTAAGAAGATCAACTGACGGGCGCCCCACCGAAAATTGCGAAAATGCTATAGTATGTCTAGGATATAGTGGTTCATAAAATGACGCTACAAATAACTACATAATCTGGTTACTTCATATCATTTATTGTTATCCAAAACCAGTTTTCTAATTTATTTATTCAGTATACATAAAACCAGGTCGTTCTATGAATAGTTGCAGCTAGTTAGTAGTATTCTACATCATTTTCTATCCCTATTCACACATGAAAATGGTAGTTCAATGACTTTCAACTTTTAGCCAATTAGTTACATGTTTGAGCCTCACCCTATCCGCGTCGGCTTGGCCAACTAAAAATTATTACTAGCCCTTACATTTAGAGGGATCAAAGTCATGTAAATGAATTGGTACCTGGTTGGTGAGTTAATAATAATAACAACTTAATGTTTTATTCACTTGATGATTGGTTAACAGTGATATAAAGTATATCAACTATTTAATGATGCATAACCACAATGTTTCAAAACATTGAACATACAGCAAATTATTGTTTATTTAAGTATCTCAGTGTGCATTATAACGAAATTTGTTCATGTCCAAAGTAAAACTTTATTCATTTATCAAACATTAGAATAAAAATGTAATTAGTTTTCTTTTTAATATTGATTAAAGTACTTCAATACTTTTGTTTTTCTACTTATATTTATTTTATAGTTGTATACTGTACTACACAAGGTGAAAGAAGCACATGTTTGTCAAGAACAAGGTGAAACTCAGCATTTATTAGATGATGTAGAATATTTAGTAGATGGTCTAACAGATCGTAATCAAGTTAATACTCGTGCACTTAGGTTAGTTATTTATCATTTCTATTTGTATATAAAAATAAAATCACAATTGATTGATTACTGGATGGTGATCAATGTTATGTGTGTCAAGTCCTTCTTAGTGCAGATCGAATTCTATCGACCAAATTGCAATGTGGCCACTAGTCTATGTGACTCAACATTGCGTGCACTATGTTGGAAGTAGCCAACAGGAAACCCTGGATCTGGGTTTCGTGCTACTTGGCACTCGTCAGCAAGGTGTATTTGTAATCTTGAGGGAGCTGGTGCCTCCTGACGGACTCGATCCCGTGTCACCCAGCTTCACAGTCAGGGACGTTACCATTGGGCTATCTGAGCCGCGACCGACCTCCTGTAAGACTGACATGTAATCACAATTGAAGTGATTTATAATGTTTACAACGTTTTAATGTCGTAGTTTACGAGATGAGTTCGATTGTTTTATACATTTACAATGATACTATATTTTTAATAGTTATGGATGTTCATGTACTGGACAATGATTGGAATTTATTTTTCTGAATTTTGTTGTTGTTGTTGTTTGCTAAAACTATTGATTCAACTAATTTCGTTTCTACATTGACCACTTTACTACAAACTGGTATTATTTCAAATGTTTATTTCAATTTGCGCGATTTTTTTTATTATGTTATACATTCTACTGTCCAGTATTTATTGAACATTATACTTCACTTATATTTATTTATTTGAACGCATAAACATTGGTTCAAGGGGGCACTTAATACATATGTGCCACATAGTAACAATGAGGCCAGTAGCAGTTATCATTGATTTGTGCGAGGGCTATGATACTGCCTGGGTGCCCAAACCGAAGCACGTTGTTTTCTTAAGGGGCCACTCCCCGAGGCATTGACCTAAAGGTCTCATGGTCGCCGGTGACCAACAACAGATTTACACGCCATTTGCTTCCTTAGATTCTGGAGCCCACGTGCACCGCTGGTTTGGAATGAGGGTTTTCCAACTCTCTTAGGTGGACCCTCTGTGTCCACCAACCCGGTATAGAGTACCGGACATTCGATTTTCGTCGTCTCAGTTTTGTGAACAACATCGCGTCTTCACGAGAAGGCATTGAGTCGAACTCCCCTGACAGTGACTGTATACGCGTGGCCATGTGAAAGTATTTCGAGAGGGCAAACTGACTTTCACCACTCTCGGCCGTACTAGGGCATTTGGGGGTATTTCACTCGAATCTTTCCAAATCAGAACAGTACGTAAGAGTGTTTGTGTTATTCTAATACCTTTGAATGAGTGGAAATTTACAAAAATACCACCAGATAATAGTCCATAAAAGACTTTTCTGTAAAAGCGGAACTTTTAAGTATATAGCGAATGAGAAGTAAATTCCAATTACCACTTTTTAAAAGTCTCTATATTCCTGTTTTTGATCAGTCTCTGTTGGCATATTCATATGCTGTATCTACGATAGTTACATTGGTTTAAGTTTCAGCTTTAACGACGGAAATACGTGTGTATCCAGCTAAACTGTTTCAAATAGGTTAAACATGAATTCCGGCTTCTACTCATTACTACATTCTAATAAATTCCAATTATTTAGACATTTATGTACCTAACATTGCACCTATTAGTTTTACATCATTTGTTGAGTTAAATGTCGTTATTTAAAGTGATCTTCGTTATAATAGGTTTATATGGATAAAAATTCATTGTTATTGGTTTGTGAATAAATTCCCGCTGAGTTCTACGAAGATTACTTTGATTAAATTGGTATATATATATATATATATATATATATATATATACTGAAAAGGAAGTAATCACAATTTTTGCTATGTGGTTATTTGTGGGAACGGCTCCTGGTGAACTCAAGGAACCTCTAAGAAGCTCCGAAAGAGCCAAAGACACCCAATCATCGTTTGAAAGAGCATCCCAGGATCTCGACGTGTAGCTCCCGATTGGACAAATGCTAAAAACCACTGCATGCGGATTGGATGAATGTAATGACGATATCGTTTTTACTAAATCTATAAATATCCAAGTTCTTTGTACCGTATTGTACTGGTTGAAATAAAATCTCTTTCCACTTGTCTTCCCTCATCTAACTTGCGACTTGAAGGGTTCAAGCGTCCGAATCCTCAAGTTCTACGTGGTATAGCAAAATAATTCAAGTTCTAGATATAACAACATTATCTTCCCTTCGTCCATGGGTTCAAGTGGTTGAATTTGACCATATGCTAAATGATGCCCACTTAAACGTTTACATATCCCAAACGACTGTTCGTAGTTTCTTGTGATTTATTGATTAAAAATTAATAATGGTCGTTTTGCTTCATATGTTTTTTTTTCTTTTTCACAATATAAGCGTCCTGACTCTAGCTAACAAGTGTTTGACTGCATCCTTCCGTTATACTCTCAATGCTCATGGTTTGTTGAAGCGAATTTGTGCAAAACTCCATGATGCTTACACAGACTATGTAAGTATAGTTTTATGTTTAAAAAATATATATTCTTAAAAGTTCTATTTTGATTATGGTATATTTGTTTTGAAATACAATTGTATGCCCAATGTCTCTTACAATCAATGAACTAAGCACTATTGAAATAGAATGAATAGGTTGTAAACTTTTTAGTTTAAATACCTATACGACTCATTTTCGTCCCTTTAAGTTCAGCCACGTTTATATATCGGTATTTCATTTTATATACTTTTAGAGAAGAAATTGTAAACATAGGCTTCACAGATCATTTATTTTATTTATCGTTATCATAGAACTCATTTATTAAACATGCTTTCCAACTGTTAATCGTGCTGTATAACTTAAACCACGAAGAACTATGTTCCCAGTTTCAGATAGGGTCATTATTTATTGTCCGTCTCGTGTTAACAATTTTACTGTAACCATTTGTCAACCAAAAATGAAATTAACATCTAATTAAATAAAGATTGTTAAACCACTAAAACAGATTGTTAACATTTCAGTTTATTTATTTATTTATTTGAACATATAAATATTAGTACAAAAGGGCACTGAATACATATGCACCACACAAGTCACTTGATTTGTGTGTGGGCTGTGATACTGCCAGGGTGCCCAAACAGAAGGAGGCGGTTTTCTTAGGGGGGCCACTCCCCGAGACTTTGACCCACAGGTCTAATTCACAAGATAGTGGAGCAACGTGGCCCACAATTTGTTCATATCCCACTTGTTTTCTTGGAATCCTGGAGTCTATGTGAATCATTGGTTTAGAATGAGGGTTTTTCAACTCCCCTAGATGGATCTTCCATATCCACCAATCCGGTTAAGGCTCTGGATATTCGCTTTTCGTCGTCGCAAGAAGGCAGTGAGTAGGACTTCCCTGATAGTGGCTGTTTATGCATGACCATGTGAGAGCATTTGGGGGCAGTTGATTTAATCTGAGAGACATAATCCAATAAAATTCGATAATATTAATTGTTTAAAAGTGATTAAATACTGTATTCACTAATCTAGAAGAATAAACTATACTGCACAAGTATACTTTCAGGAACTTCCAATCATCATTAACTACGACTTGATTTAATGTGATATAATCAACTTTTTCCACCGCTAAAATGTTACTTCATTCTAGGTGCTATCACTCTCACATGAGAATAATTACAAAATTACTTACATTTAAAAATAACTTGTTAATTTGGTTCTGGTATTTCTATTCTGGTTATCTGGTTCGCCAGAATTAAAAAATCACCAATGTATTGTTATATAGTTTGTTTCTCTTCGTTATTTCATAACTACCTAAAACGAAAGTCCGAGGATGGTAATTGATTTTAATGTCATCATGTTTTATACCCCATACTGAGTATCCGCTGACCATTATAACATATCAGGTCACTAATCACAATGCTGATTCTAATTTTTTCTATTTTGCGTCTATTATTTACTGTGCATCTTGATATCCCTGATTTTGTCATTTACATGCCCGACCAGTACTATTGATTTTGAACCGACAGCTAAGTCCCTATCGGCCATTATTATCCAGCTCCTCATCATCCCTTGCCTTGAGTCCCTAAATAACAACTAACCTCTACTGTGAGAGCACTTCTGCTCTATGCTTGTGAAACCTGGCCTCTCCGAGTTGAGGACGTTAGACGACTCTCTGTGTTCGATCATCGTTGTCTCCGAAGGATTGCTGACATTCAGTGGCAACACCATGTCAGTAATGCAGAGGTTCGGCATCGTGTGTTCGGGCACAGAGACGATAATGCAATCGGTGTCACTATCTTGAAACACCAACTTCGGTGGCTTGGACATGCTCTACGAACGTCGTCCCAGAGAATTTCACGTCGTGCATTATTTGCCGACTGTGGGACCAGTTGGAAAAAGCGGAGAGGTGGTCAGTGCATGACATGGTGTCGTGGCATGAAAGAAAGCTGAAAAGGGCTGGCTTGTGTTGGTCCTTTACGACTCCCTGGTTGCGGTCCGAGAGATGATGCTACACAGTAGCTAGAGACGTTATCAGATATGGCTGAGAATAAAAGGCAGTGGCGATCCTGCTGTAACCTTCTTTTACTTTCTTCATTTAAAAAAATGGTTGTATCTTCCTTAACTGAAAGATTTCTTCTGGTTGTGCCTTTCCGTTTCCCCCATTATTATTATTATTATTATTATTATTGTTATTATTGTTATTGTTATTATTATTATTGCACTACCTTACACCAATCTCTTCCTTATTGTTCTTTTTTTACCCTCCTTGCCTTTTTTCCTTCTCTTTAAATTCTCATTGTTTTGTGTGGCGCATATATATTTGGTGAACTCTTGTACCAATATTTATGTATTCAAATAAATAAATAAATAATAACTGTATTTACACTGCAAACAGATGTGCCTTATATACAGACATATCAGACATCACCACAACATACATGAACAAATCAAAGTGGCTGTAAACAGTTGCTCAATGATTAAACAACAAAATTATAATGAATAATAATTCAGTAAATGCGTCTCAACGTTTGCAATAGACGTTTCGTCATCACACATACTAATCCTATCATTACTGTAAATTTTATTCCAATTGAATCGTACTTGTTTCAAGACCTCTTTATGCCTTCTATTATGACTTAATTACACATTCATTTACAGCAGGAGCCCCCAAGTGCCCTGGTACGGCCGAGGAAGGAGAAAGTCAGCTCTTCCTCTCCGAATGCTCTCACATGGTCATGCATAAACAGCCACTATCAGGGAAGTCCTACTCACTGCCTTCTTGCGACGACGAAAAGCGAATATCCAGAGCCTTAACCGGATTGGTGGATATGGAAGATCCATCTAGGGGAGTTGAAAAACCCTAATTTCAAACCAATGATTCACATAGACTCCAGGATTCCAAGAAAACAAGTGGGATATGAACAAATTGTGGGTCATCAGCGACCATGAGACTATCTCTTAACGTTGCTCCATTGTCTTGTGAATTAGACCTGTAGGTCAAAGTCTCGTAGAGTGGCCCCCTAAGAAACCACCTGCTTCGGTTTGGGCACCCTGGCAGTATCACAGCCCTCGCACATATCAAATGAGATTTGTGTGGCGCATATGTATTAGGTGCCTCCTTGTACCAATATCTATATCTTAAAATAAGTAATAAATAAATTACACCAGGAACCATTCAAACAATACTCAATATAAAATTCAATGGTTTCTTTAGTATAAAAATGCAATCATAATCTACTGATAATTTATTTGACTTTCAATGAAACTTCTTGTCATTTCAGGCACTGGCACTTACCTCTGCTGGATTGTTGTTTGTTTTATCACGAGATCGTGACCCGAATATATTAGATGTTGACTCCTTGGCTATTATATTGAAATTATTCTCTGCACCCGATAGTAAGTTGTTCCACGTATTGGTGAAAATTTTCAAATTATTGTAACTGATGTTATTGCATAATGTTTAGAGCTAATTTATGCTTACTTACAAATTCAGATGTTTATTCAGTGTGTGAACTAGTCTTCAAATGCCATGGTACGGTTGAGAATGGGGAGAGTCAGATCTCGAAATAATCTCACATAGCCACACCCACTGCCAGGGAAGTCCTATTCAAGGCCTCGCGACGATGCAGTGTTGTCCACAAAACTGAGACAACGAAAAGCGAATATCCAGCGCCTTGATCGGGTTTTTGCGGATATGGAGAATCCATCTAGAGAGGTTGAAAAACCCTCATTCCAAACCAGTGGTTCACATGGACTCCAGGATCCTAAGAAAACAATTGGCGTATGAACCAGTTGTGGGTCACCGGCGGCCATGAGACTGTTTCTTTTAACGTTGCACCTGCTGTGGTTTGGGAACCCAGATTGTATTCCAGACCTGACACAAATCTATTATGTATTTGGTGCCCCCTTGTATCGATGTTTATATGTTTAGCTAATAATAACTACTAGTACTATCCGATTCCTTAACCCATCAGGAGTTTAACAAAGTTTTAAACACAACCTAACACTAATGATAGCCAATTGCTTTGTCATTAAACTACCATTCCACTATGAATAAAAATCCACACTCATGATTTCTAGTTACATAGTTAGAGTTTGTGGATTAGGCTTTTGGTCTCACTAAGTGATTGCATATTATTAAATTTGATTTCGTAACTGATTAGTAATTATTTAGGTATTGTAGTATTTTCTTGTCTTTTTACGATAATTTTTGTGTGTAAACTAGGAATGAACTGTAGAATCCTATGAATAAACGGACCTAGAATCTCAATCGTTTCTTTTCATTTTGAGTTCACCTTTATAAAGTGTTCACAAGTTTAAAGACTTGAAAGTATTCTGATGTTTGATGTGTTTTTTTCAGCCAATACAAATGGCAGTACCGGTGGTGGTCATTGTGAAATCAGTAAAAATAAAGAAGCTGAACGTGTACGTATGCGTGTTCGTCAACTACTCGACGGTTTACATCAAAATAATTCCAAGAGTTTAACACCAATATCTTCAACTTGCCCAGATGTTGTTGTAGGCAACAATTCAAACACGATCGCTTCTTCCAATCAATCACTATTCTCTAGTGGAAAGCGTTCAATCCTTCCACCTGGATCTAAAACACCTACAAATTCAAGTTTAAACACTCGACATTTACAGATCACCCGTCAGTTGACAGTAAGTATTTAATAAATTTGTTTCTATTTTGACATATGTACAGTTCAGAACTGGTAAAATTGACTTGCTAGTTTAGTCATTTATCGTCTGGTAAAGGTAATAAGTTTAACAAATAGAGTTTAGTTATGCACACTAGAAGCTCCATATAATTGTATTCTTAGCTTAAGCGTAATTGGTTATATGATTCTTTATGTGTATGAAGTTATAATCAAGTTAGGTAACCAACTACTGAGTTACATATACAGTTAAATATGTGAAATGACAAACCCAATCACTAGTCATTAATTTATGGCTAACTTCAGTTTCATTTATTACATGGTCACCATCGCTTGCTAAAAACAAGCCATTTTCATACTTTAAGGCTTCACTATTCAAAGAGTAATTTTTAAACTATCAATATCAGTTACAATTTTTACGATCTCGTTCCTACTATCTACGTGTTTGTTATAATAAAATTTTCAGACCTCAGATTTAGTTATTGAATCTATTTTAAACTTTGGCACTCGGAAAGCAGGAGATTGGTTCAAAGTAGAACTTCGTAATGGTGGTGGATTAGATAAAGTTGCTGATGCAGCTTCGGACGCTGTTGATTATCTGGCAGATTTAGATCCAAACAATACATCTCGTAAACCAACAACTGTTTGGCGTTCTAGGACTAACTTAACAGGAATTGATAACTTCGCTTTGGATAGACTTAAACGAGTTTGCCATTATACACGATTATTAGAAAATGTAAGTTTTTATCTGTTTGATTTCGTGTAGATGTGAGGATTGTGAACATTTTTTTCGTTTTCATTAAAGTATTTCTAACACATCATTTGTATAAATTGTCAATAAATCTATCTTAATATCTTGCAATATAGAGTAAAATTGCCCGTGTATTACAAAACTTATTTATTTGAACACATAAATATTGGTACAATAGGGCACTGAATACATATACGCTACATAAATCATTTGATTTGTGTTAGGGCTGTCATATTGCTGGGGTGCCCAAAGCGAAGCAGGTGGTTTCTTAGGGAGGGACACCCGGAGCTTTAGACCCAAAGGTCTGATCTACAAGGCAGTGGAGCAACGTCAGTAGATGGAGTCCCATGGTAGCCGGTGACCAACGATTTGTTCATACGCCATTTGTTTTCTTAGGATCCTGGAGTTCATGTGAACCATTGGTTTGGAATGAGTGTTTTTGAATTCCCTAGATAGATCTTCCGTATCCACCAATTTGGGTAAGGCACTGAACATTCGCTTTTCGTCCTTTCATTTTCGTAAACAACAGTAACGCCACGAGAAGACAGGGAGTAGGACTTCCCTTGTAGTGGGTGTATACGTTTGATCATGTGAGATCATTTGGAGAGGGAGGGCGGACTTTCCCCACCCGCAGTCATACTAGGGCATTTGACATTAAATTGTCTCAGTAGTTTAACAACTAAAGTTCCAATCAGTGAACCCCTACTTCGTATTCAAATACATGTTTTTCTGTTTGAGCTAACATGTACTGTTCTTGAAACCTCTCACATTAAATGTGTTTCAGTTCTTGGTGAGCGAACCTGAATAAGTGTGTTGTAGAATTATCAGATTTCTGTAATTTGTCCAGTTCGGACTAAAAAAATTTACAATTGAATATAAATAACCTCATTTGTAAGTTAGTGAATCCTGACAAACTAAGTCGGTTGGAATATGTATTACGTATATCCAACCACTGTCTACCTTGATGAGTGATGTTGTCTGGTGTAGCAGTAAGCTGTAAGAAAGCTAGGGGCCGCCAAACTAAAACATGGCATCAGTTCATGAAGTCATTGACATTTGGACTAAGTCATGTTATTAGGTGCAGAATACCTGGTTCAGGTACTCTTGATCACCATAACCAATGATTAAAGACTTAGAATGACATAGCTTAGGTGTATTCATTCTTTGTCTTCCCTTAAGTCCTAAAATTTCTGGATTCCTCGTGGGTTTTTCCTTCGCTATTTCATTAATTTATATTTTCTCAAATTGTATCTTCTATGTCTAATCTTTTCTATTACTACCAATACTGTTACTGCTTGTACTACTATGGTATCCAACCTAGCAATTTCATCTCTCTCTCTCTGTATGTCAACTTGAACTGATGCACAGATGTTCTAATTTCTACGTTGTGTTCAATTGATTATTGAAAGAAAGTTTCAAAATTTATTTTGGTTTTAAAACTCTATAACAGTCGAAATTGCACTGGTATTTAAGTGCTAAAAGTTATCATAAAGCTTTATTATTCGTTTCTCTGATATCCTAATAGATTAATTGTAAATGTATCTGTATTTGATTTGATTGATAGAGATTATAAAAGATCATTATATAATAATAAGCTGTTTGTATGTGATTTATTCACAAAAATCTAGTGTACACTGCCTTAATGTAAAAGTTTTGATGTCACTTGTAAAATTGATCTTCTTTAAGAAATTCTTTTAACAAACTGTACCAACCAATACATTTTCACAATTGTTTGTTGAGTTCTAAGGTGAAATTCGGTGTTCATCTTGTTGTGTTAATGACGTATGTCCCTGGTCCTAGGTTGTAGCTAACTGACTAACTGACTGATATAGATGATTTTATCAGTCTATGTTACTAGTAGTTACACAAGCGATATCATTATCACATGCCTAACATGGTAGATTGTTGCTCAAACAATAAGTACAAACTATTCACATAGTTTTATATGTGTACAATGTAATTTGAGTATATATATATTTAGTTCTTCGGATTATCATGTTTTTCCCCCTTCAATTTATTTCTTTTTGTGTTTAGATGACTTACATGAACTCAGATAATCAAACATATTTGGTACATTATCGTGATGGAATTCTTGTGAAACGTTTGTTGACCTGTTTACGAGTTTGTGTATCTCATTTACCTAAATCATCAACTCAACAAACAAACTCTAATTCTACTACTACTAATAATAATGTTTCTATGGAAAAATCTACTGTAAATAGTATCAATGTTTTGTCGAATTCAAATAATTCTGCATATGATAGTCAAACTATTTTAACCGATTGCATTTTAGGAATATTTCGATTTCTAGTAAATGTTTCACATAATGGTAAGTTAAATTTTCCTATTGTTGATCCAAATTGTTTGTGATTACTTTTCTCTTATTAATATTGAATGTGAGCATATTTTATTGATAGAGTAGTTAGTCAGTCAGTCAGCAACAACAACGTAGAACTTCGTACGTACGTAAATCAGTTCGAGTTTCCATACCACATTAAATCGATAGTGTAGAGTATACAGTGATTTTCATTTAGTCTTCAATCTTGTCCAATACCATACTGATCAGTAAATATATATAAAGTTTTATTTGTATATCAGAGCCATGTTGGTAGATGTAGACCTACTTGGTTGTAATCCGTCCGATCAGTCGTCGAAAATATTTAAAGATATGATTCGAGTCCGTCTTCAGAGAGAAAGTGCATCCAATTTTTATCTTTCTTTCAATTTTGAGTTCCAGATTTCTCTCATAATATAACTTTACATTTTATTATTTCCGAACCATATTCTCATTGTGCTTGATCTATGTCATTGTATTTCCTGCTACATTTCAACTACTTCATTATTCATTTTGTCAATTTCATCTTGATCCAATGCACATGTGTGTCAAACTCTGTGTTGATTATGACTGATTAGACTGTATATCAGATATATATTGGAAAATTTCACGGTAATAAATCTTTTGAAATAACTTTTATACATAACTTTCTAGTATATATCCTCTTTGAATAGACTTATCATTATTTTCACCATGACTAATTGTAAAATATTAAGCATTTTTGAGCTTTTATTAACTATGATGTACCATTGAGGGTATACCTTCATAATCCTCTTTTCAGTATCAGTAACTTCTTCCACAAATCTATGACGTCATTGACAAGTGGACTTAGCCATGTTGGTAGGTGTAGACTATCTGGTTGGGATCCGTGAGACGATTGCAACCGATAGTTAGAAACCTTGAATAACATAGCTCAAAATCGTTTGCAATGGTGCGGGTGCATCTACTCTTTATGTCCTCTCAAATTCTAATCTTCTGAATTCTCCTTGTCTCTTTTTTTCTCTTTCCAAATTTATTTCACTGGATTATACTCCTTGAATAACACCATCAAACTCTAATTTTTCCGATTATTGCTTATACTTTTACTACCTCTACCACTATGGGATTTGAATCGATAATTGTATCTCTGTGCTAATAGGGTATGGCAACTCGAATTGATGTACGTACGTACGAAGTTCTACGTTGTTGCTGACTGACAGCCAGTTTTGGGTCAGGTGATTAAAATCTATGTAATTGTTTAATTCCATTTTTACCATGCATTCCCTTCTTATGTAGTTAAGATTTTTAGTATTTTTTAAAGGCTTATTTCATATAGTCTAATGCGAATTCTAAGCCTTCGTGGAATTAACTGATTTAAAATACATTCTAGTTGTGTAATGTTGTCTGATATTTCCCTGACTTATCCTTCTTTTTTTATTTTCATAGAATTCGCCAGTGAACGTCTTGGTGCTTGTTCAGGTTTTCTAGAAACTATTTTTGATTGCCTACTCAAGTTGCCTGATCGTTTGCCTGGAACAAAAAGATTTGATGTGATTGTCTTAGTACTCTGTCTTTTGGTAAATATGTGTGAACATTGCCCTGAAAATCGCACCCGAATTGTATATCTGGATATTACAAAATCATGTCTTAAACAAGGCTCTCCAACAAATTTGAAAAATGTCAAATATATCGATACATACGATGATGAAGAGGAAGATGATGATGATGATGACGTAAATGCAAATACAAATACTTCACGACAAGTTGTAACCACTTCTGCACTTGACGAACTCATACAAGTGAGTAATAAGTCTTTTTGTTGAAGGCTTAGATCGATCCTATTTTTAACACTAACTTATTTACATTTATTGATCACTAAGCACATGGGTACATTAAAAGAGAAATTCAACCAAAACAATACTGTTGTTAAGTGACATTGTGCCTGCTTAACCGTCATATCATGTTTTTTTTATTATAATTTATCTAGATAGGTAACCATTAAGTCTCTATAATCATTCATAATTTTAAAAACTCTCATGACATTGTTTATTGTACAGATTTCATCGTACATTATGTAATCTAGACAATTCATCCTGTGGATTTAACCATACCGGACAGATTGAAAGATAATTTTATTAACAAATTAACAAGGACCTCTTATCATAGTCTAAAAAGGGTAAACTAGAATCAACATACAACTCCGTGTTTTCATAGTCGGCAATGTTGTAGATATAAAATTAACGTATTCAAAGTCACTTATGTACTTTTTCTTAATTTCCCAATAGACTTCAAATTTATCTCCTATGCATTATGTACACTACGGAAATCCGATTTATAATTCATAGTTCTTGTATTCAGAGTAAATTTATCATGTCACAATCATTTATTAGTATTTGATTGAGATCATCAACCGATTGATGCTAGACCACCGTTGAAAACCTGGAAGCACTGGACGGTCGTTTCGTCCTATTCTGGGACTCCTCAACAGTGCGCATCCACGATCCCGCCCTCCGCGAGATTCGAACCCAGGGCCTTCAGTCTTGCGCGCGAACGCTTAACCTACTGAAACACTGAGCCGGTGTCCAATGGTGTTAGTGTCTAACATCAATCAATCCACAAAATTGCGCGACCATCTTCCATTGTATTGATGTGGATACTTGTCTCTACCCGACACGGATTAGCCCTACTGGTCACGGTTCCCTCGCGAAGCTAGTCACTATTAGTAAATGGTTTTCGCTAAATTTTCTTTTACTTCATGTTCTGTTTCTTTTATTTTCTCTTCATCTCTTTCAAATTTCCACTTCAATACTTTGATTATATCATACAATTTGTCCCTTAGTTTTATTTCATTATTAATGACTATTATTTAGACCGGTTACTTTTTTTGTTTATTTTACGTGATCATTCTGTCTTGATTATTCTTATTTTTATTTCGTTTTGTTTATTCATTTAAACATAAACATTGGTACAAGGAGGCACCAAATAGATATGAGCCACACTTTGTCATTCAATTTGTGTAAGGGTTGGAATACTATCCAGGTGGTTTTCTTAGGGGGCTACGCCTTCAGCCTTTGACCTAAAGGTTTGATCTACAAGACAATGGAGCACCGTCAGGAGTTTCAGTCATATGGTAGCCGGTGACCAACAATAGGTTCATACACCATTCACTCCCTATGGATCCTGGAGTCCATGTGGACCCTTGGCTTGTAATGAGAGTTTTCCGACTACCCTAGATGGGTCCTCCATATCCACCAATTCGGGTAAGGCACCGGACATTCGCTTTTTGTCGTCGCAAGAAGGCAGTGAGTAGGACTTCCTTGACAGTGGCTGTATACGTGTGGTCATGTCCCCACTCTGGACCGTATCACGGCATTTAGGAACATTCTTACCATTATTCCTATTTTATTTATTTATTTGGACACATGAATATTGGTACAAGAGAGCGCCAATATATATGCGCCACACAAAACAATGAAAATTCGAGAGGAATACAAAGAAAAAAAAAGATAAGGAGCGCAACAAAAAAAAGAGAGAACAATAACGAAGAGATTGGTGTAAGGTAATGTGCTAGTAATCAGGGAACGCAAAGGTACAATCGGAAGAAATCTTTCAGGTAAGGGAGACAGAACCACTTTTTATGAAGAAGGTTACAGCAGGATCGCCACTGCCTTCTATTCCCAGCCATATCTGATAACGTCTCTAGCCACTGTGTAGAACCATCTCTCACACCCCAACCAGGGAGTCGTGAAGGACCAACACAAGCCAGTCCTTTGTAGCTTTCTTTCATGCCACGACACCATGTCATGCACTGACCACCTCTCCGCTTCTTCCAACCAGTCCCAGAGTCAGCAAATAATGCACGACGTGAAATTCTCTGGGACGACGTTCGTAGAACATGTCCAAGCCACCGAAGTTGGTGTTTCAAGATAGTGACACCGATTGCATTATCGTCTCTGTGCCCGAACACACGATGCTGAGCCTCTGCATTACTGACATGGTGTTGCCACTGAATGTCAGCAATCCTTCGGACACAGCGATGATCGAACACAGAGAGTGGTCTAACGTCCTCAACTCGGAGAGGCCAGGTTTCACAAGCATAGAGCAAAACTGCTCTCACCGACGCGTTGTAGATCCGACCTTTTACAGCCAGACTAACATCACGAAGGCGCCAAAGGTGGCCCAGATTGGCATAAGCCGCTCTGGCTTTCACTATTCGTGCATTGATCTCATCACTCACGCTACCACCAGCACTTATGATGCTACCCAGATACATGAACTTCTCGACTACTTCTATCTGCTCACCATCCAGAGTGAGTACAGGATTAGAATCCTGCCAGTCTTGTAGAAGTACTTTGCACTTCGAAGGTGCAAGGCTTATACCGTACCTACGGACACTGATTGCCAACTGATTAAGTGCGGATTGCATGCCTTGGGCATTATCGCACAGTAAGACAATATCGTCCGCATACTCAAGGTCGAGAAGTCTTTCTCCAGGCAACAGATCCACACCACCATTACTTACATTCATCAGAGCTGTTTCCAGAATGTCATCGATGGCAAAGTTGAAGAGGAATGGTGAGATTGGGCAACCCTGTCTAACCCCACTTCTCGAATGGAACAATGGAGAAAGGTGGTTGTATGCCCTCACTCTGCCTGTCCTGTTAATATCAATATTTACTTACTGATTTAATCAGTTGTGTAGTGTACATTACTACGATTATTGACGCACAAATTACTTTGGTTGCTTCCTGTTTTCATGTGTGCATATGAATGTAACTGTATGTTAGAGTCAGTTCTGATGTGACTACATTTTTCCCTTTCATGTCGTGTTCCTTTCATCCCATACTGGTTGGCTTTGTGGTTAAATAATTCGACTGGTAGGTCACAGGTTTGAAATCCCTCTCCATGTACGTTGGTTTGGACAAATGGTCAGTATTACTAATTCCATGCAATTACTGTGACTCAAAGCTGACCATATAAATTTCGCTCGGTAAATGAGTTACTTACGCCTGTTACTCCTCGTGAAGCATAGGTTCCCGATCAAGATTGTCCACCTTACTCTGTTCTGGGCTCTGCTTTCAAATTGTTCCCGATTACTATTTATTATCTAGATGTATGCCTCCGATTCTCCGAGGAATGTGTTCGTCGGTCTACCTCTTTTCCTTTTGCCTTCAGGATTCCAAGTATGAGCCTACCTTGCTATACGTTTTCGCAATTTCCGTAAAATGTGATATTTTTACCTCCCACATCTTTTCTTTATTCCCTCTTCAACTGGAAGCTGATTTATTCTCCACCACATTAGATTGTTATTTATAGTGTCCGGACAACCGATTTGAAGTATCTTTCGTAGACAGCTGTTTATAAATGCCCATATATTTTTGATGATGAGTTGCATCGTCATTATTGTTATTTCTTCGTCAAATATCTATCCTACTTGTACATTTTTCTCCATTGTAGCTATTTCTTACTCGAGAAGAATGCGCACGTAACCATGATTTCGAGAGAGATGATGATGAAGCTATGGCAGCTGCAGCGGCCCGTAAACGTTCTGAAGAATTAGAAGATTTTGAAAATAATTCTAAACAATTACGCCCAGGTTACCCTAACCCTACTGTCGAAGAAGCTGGTTTGAAGTGGCGCTTAATAGAGGATCGAAGAGCAATGAATCTGAATAATAGAGGATTTTTAGGTAATTGTCAGTTACTTTGTAGTTTAGCAGTAAATATTAGTATCCTGTTCATGATTTTAGAGCCTTAAAACCATGAATCCATTCCTTTCCAAACCATGCTCCAAGGCTTAGTCTTTTCATCATCAGTACTATATCATTTCTATTTCTTGTTATCCTCATCTCCAGCTAATGAGGTACGGCAAGTTAGTTCAACGTGTATCCGCATCAGGCTCCATGTTTATGACGTCTGTCTGTCTATCGGATACTAATCCACTCAATTTCACCACCTGAATTACAAACCTAGACTGATGTATATAAGTAGCATGTTGCAGCAATCAGGAGTGGAGTGCCTGCCAACAGAAAACACTGAAATGAAGAGAACAAGAAGGAAATCGCTGTGTTATCGAAATAACTGAATTGGATGAATGATGAAGTATGTATAGGACAACTGATGGATGATGTGCAAATAATATATTTAATGTATGATTTTGCATGAAAAATAAATTGGTTTTACCCAATTGCATAACAACTACAGCAGTACAATCAAGTATGAAACCGCCATATACACGCTCCTATTTAGGCGAATACATACTATTGGCTTTTTTTTCTAGATCACATAACATAAATTTGTCTAGGCACATACCTACTTTCAGTTCAATTGTATTAAACTATATGGTATATCATATTTCAGTCAATTTACAAGGATCTGTATAATAAATTCATATTAGTTTACACATTTTTACTCGCTTTATGTAGCCTTAACCAAATAATATGCTCATATCGTTTATTACTTACACAATCCAGCATTCAATGAAATAACTCTAAAGTATTTTATTCTGTCATACGTTCTCTGCCTACACTAATTAATGGTTGCTCTGGTTGTCAGAATGGGCATCAGCCTCGTGACTTCCGAAGGAACACGGCTTTCATCATGAGACATCATAATATTTCTAAATGAAAACCTAACTCCCAGGACAGAGTTTAAATTGTTTGAATTATTTTTTCTGGTGAACGTTTCTTTAGTGAGTTGGTTTTCTACGGGATGGGTCTCTAACCTCATGTCCAACCCCCCTTCTTTATCTGGGCTTGGGACCGGTAGTAGCCCCAGAGGGGCTCCAGGTGGAGTTCATAGAAAACCTACATGTATATAAAACTGTAAGATATATGGTGTTTATACAAGTTATCTGTCGTCTATTTCAGAGAAAATTCTAATTAATATTATTTTCTAAAGATGTTTGTAGCTCATTTTTATTATTGATATTCAACCATATAGAGAAACTTTATTTCTCGAATGATAATAATAATTCATGGTTTGGTACTTCGGGTCGTAAACAGTTTTCCGAACAAATTTCATGCAATTGAATTTGCTTTCACTTTTTACATCGTGTAGTTCTTTTGTTTTTTCAATAGGTCGGAATAAGAAACGATTGAACCGTAAACAAAAGTGTAAAAGTAGTGTAAATAAACAACGACAGAATATGGGAGGTTTCAATGATGACGAGGAAGATTCCGATGATGTAGATGACCTAGATGACAATGATGGTGACGATGATTGCATTGAAGATGATGATTTGGGGGAGGATGATGAAGGTGATGACGATGGTGATGATGATGACGACGACGATGATGATGAAAGTGTTGGCAGTGGTGCAGATGTTGAATTTGTCGCCGACACCCAAGAGGAACAAGAAAAGTTAGCCAAAAGTATGTCGCAAGCTCAACAACATATGGAAGACTCAGTGGTGGCTGCTTATGCTGGTAAGGTTAAGAAATATTTGTTTCAAAATTATTTACCGTTTTCCTCACGTTTATAAAGAAGTGTTTCAAATAAAGCTAATCGCAACTCTAACATTCATTATCATTATGCTGTCGGGGTATGAAAGAATGCTGCAAAGGGCTGGCTCGTGTTGGTCCTTCATGATTCCCTGGTTGGGGTCCGAGAGATGGTGCGACACAGTGGCTAGAAACGTTATGAGATATGGCTCAGAATAGAAGGTAGTGGCGATCCTGCTGTAACCTTCTTTTAGTTTCTTCATTAAAAAAATGGTTGTATCTTCCTTAACTGAAAGAATTCTTCTGGTTGTGTCTTTCCGTTTCCCCTATTATTATTATTACTACTACATTACCTTACATTAATCTGATCGTTATTGTTCTTTTTCATTTTACGCTCCTAATCTTCTTTTTTTCCCATTCTCATTGTTTTGTGTGGCGCATATATATTTGGTGCCCTCTTGTGCCAATATTTATGTATTCAAATAAATTAATAAAGAAGCATTATGCTGTGTATTATGTATACGAATTCTAAGAGTTCGTGGTTCTGTGATTTAGTAAACGTACCTGTAATCTAATTGATTCAAAAAATTTTGTTTTCAAATTCCAATGTACAATACTACTTAATTGTTTATTTAACATTCACTATATTTATTTACGGTTAACAAACTTATTCACCATCATTACAATTGTTATGTTCTGTCGTGCTACACTACTACTTTAAGCGATGCACATTTATTGCAAGTCTATAATATTGTTTATGGTTAACTGTAGCTGTCCTCTAATCAATTGTGTTTTGTTCTCATTTTATTTATTTATTTATTTGAACACATAAATATTGGCACAAGGAAGCACCAGATATATATGCGCCACACAAAACAATGAGAATGGGAAGAGAAAAAATGTTAGGTGCGTATGAGAAAAAAAAGAACAAACAATAACGGCCACAGATTAGTGTATGGTAGTGTAATAATAATGATAATAATAATAATAGGGGAAACGGAAAGGTACAAGCAGAGGAATTCTTTCAGTTAAGAAAGTTACAACCACTGTTTATGAGGAAAGTAAAAAAAGGTTACAGCAGGATCACCACTGCCTTCTATTCTCAGACATATCTGATAACGTCTCTAGCTACTGTGTCGCATCATCTCTCGGACCGCAACCAGGGAGTCGTAAAGGACCAACACAAGCCAGCCCTTTTCAGCTTTTTTTCATGCCACGACACCATGTCATATACTGATCACATCTCCGCTTTTTCCAACTGGTCCCACAGTCGGCAAATAATGCACGACGTGGAATTCTCTGGGACGATATTCGTAGAACATGTCCAAGCCACCGAAGTTGGTGTTTCAAGATAGTGACACCGATTGCATTATCATCTCTGTGCCCGAACACACGATGCCGAACCTCTGCATTACTGACATGGTGTTGCCACTGAATGTCAGCAATCCTTCGGAGACAACGATGATCAAACTCTAAGACAATATTATTACGTAGAGAGCGCTTAGAGAATATTAGAATTTCTTATGTTTACTTAAAGCTGCATACTTATTAAACAGTTTAAATGTTTTGTGTGTTTTTTTCTTCCAATTTATTCAGCTCTCCTACTTGGCTGTATTCTCCAATCAAGTCCTCGTTACACTGATCGTATTAGATCCAAATTACCAGATGGACAATTTCGTCCATTAGCAATTATGTTAGCTAAACTACTCAGCTTTTTATCTTTAACTAAAGGTGTAGGATCATCAGGTTCTGAGTCTATTTTACGTATTGTCAGAATTTTAGAAGCACAAGATAAACAAAATACAAAATTATCAACGTCTAATGATTGTGGTGACAGTTAATATTAAATAAATACTGTTCCTTTGTTTTTTGTCTATGTTTACCATGTTCTTTTTTCTTGTATTACTTTATCTCTTGTACGTTGTCGCCGTCGTTGTCCTTGTTATTACTATCATTGTTGAGTAATGTATGAGTGTGTGTACATGCATACATACAGTTAGATAGATGTAGAAGTGTGTGTGTGTGTGTATGTGCATGTATTTTCAAATAATTTCTAGATTTATTGCACATAGTTTTGTTTGTTTGTTATTTTCTCTTTAACTTTTCATCGTCTCGTTTATCATTTTTTGTTTTTTTCTAATACCAATATACATTTGGTTTCCATCTTAGTAACAATTATTGATAATGAAATTCACATTTGACTAAATAATGATAATAATACAAATAAGATTGTTCATCTTTGAAATCTATCATTCAACAAAACAAAAAAAAACACAACACCTTTCTCTTATGTGTATAAATTGTAATACAAAATGAATAACAGTCAATTATGCAACTTTATTGTTTACTTTATTACTATATTATCTCTTTTGTCTTTTTTTATCTTTATTGAATGAAACGTTTTCTTTTCTTTTTCCCCCTTTCTTTTTCTTTTCTTTTCTCTGTTTTTCTTTTACAGATTGATGTATATAATTATATAGTTCTTGTTTTTCCTATCTCTTATATATATATTCAATTGATTATATTTATCTTAATGTATTTGAATAGTATTTTCAATGATCTATTTCATTGCCTTCTTTCTTTCTTTTTTTTCCAATGAAATAGAAAACAATAATAAATGATCTTTGTAGTTGTTCTCTTTTCTTTTCTTTGTTGTTGTTTTCATTGCTGTTGTTGTTGTTATTATTTTTATTATTGTTAGTATTAGTGTTGACAAGTTGTCATAGTGTTTTTTTCTTTGTATATTCTTCTATGATTGATGATGGGAATATTATCGATCCTTTTCTTTTCTTTTCTTTTTCTTGCCAAATGCCCCATATGGTATTTTGAATCATTGTAGTAAGTTCCTTTAATTGCTTCTTCTTCTTCTTTTCTCGTTTGCTTTTTTTCCTTTTCGTTAGCTTGTTTGTTATTGTTTTATTAAGAATGATACATGATTTCTTCAATGTAATTTTGTTTGTTTGTTTGTTTGTTGCTGTTCATTTTCTTTCCCGTTTGTACATGTATGACTTCGTTCGGGTATTTCTATAAATAATAACATTAATTTATTTTGTAAAAATATTCCCCCTTTGAAATTTGTTTCTTAACAAAGTAATTAGTATACTCTATGATTGTTTACTTCTTTATTAATTTTATGTCTGTGAAACATAATTTATATAAAGTAGAAAACATGCTCAAACTATAACTATTTCATCATAAATGTTTCCTAAAATTATTGAATAAGAATTATTGATGTTAGGCAAACATTCCAAATCAGTTAATCTCAGATGAGCCTTCATCCATTGAGTTAGATAAGACAGATGTTACGTATACCTAAATACTAGTCGCCTAGATGGGCAGTGGTAAATATCGTTGTAGTAGATTAAGAGAAAGCTAGTCACCGTGAGTCTGTGAAATCACTGATTGTTAGACTGAACCCTGTTGGTAGATACAGTCGATCAGTGATTGGGTGATATGTATCAAGATCCTTAGAAATGTCATAGATGCGTTGAGTTTCAGTATACTTTCATTCATACTTTTTGGTTCTATATTATCAAACCAGATGTTCAATATTCGGTCACTGCTTCCATTCATTTTTTAAATTTTATCCTGTGTTAATTTGATAGACCTGTTATCTCACGTACCCCACCATCTCTACGTAGGACAGTTAACCCTAAAAATCGTTAGGGAGTTCGTTTTGACCTTGTAATTGTTCGTAGTAATCAATCAAGTAAATTCATAAACTTGCACCCATCTTACTCTGGAATCCATACCATTCCATGATGTAACTAAGTATGTTACTCTCCAGTAATTTCTGTAAGATTATACGATTAACTATGATCAGTATCTGAGACAAACCGTAAGACCAAGTAATCTCTGTATATACGCCCCCCACTATAATATTAAAAATAATTTTGTGATTTCGCTGAAATTCGATAATATTTTGTAGTAAGTGATCTACTTTATGAACTTTCCTTAATCATTAATTTGAATTGACAAGGGTAACTCCTATTAAGTTAAAGACTATTAAATGTTCAATGTCATCATCTAGAACTGACTCAACCAATCTAATTTACTTTGTGTACAACCCCTAAAGGTAATTGAGTGTAACTTCTAAACACCAATGGTAAAAGATATCATATAGTACTCATTCATATATGTAAGACAACTAAACTGAACAATGTATTTACGAGATGATAGGGAAAAACTAAAAATATATCTATGTTAATAAATTATACTCTAGTAGACTCGCTAGAGTTGCATGAATCGAATTCGTCCAACAATTGTCTGTTGATTGGAAGAATTTAATTTATTTTACATCAATCCAAAATGTGTATTTTTAGTTGAAATTATTTATGTATAACTCGATTCAAATGATCATTCATCGTCTGTAATGACTAATATGGACAATATTTTTTCGTACTCGATACTAAACGTTGTTAGCTTATATTGTATACAACACATATGTAGGATAGTATATGAATTGGTCCAGCCTGAAGCGTTAGGGTTTAAAGAACGCTTAAAACCCATTGTCTCGTGTCGGAACACAATTACGAGAGCATTTTTCCGAATTTTCAGGCTTCGAGCTATATTTTTATGTAAAGCTGAAAGTTTCATATGAGATTGGAGGTTTGTTATTGATATTATGGGTGGTTCAGCATTACTTTGGGAAGTTTTGCTAATTGTTCAATAAAATCCACGGTGCGCGTTTCGTCCTATTTAGGACTCATCAGCGGGATGTACATGTACTGCTGGTCACTATCCACCTTGGCTTATAGAAAGTTACTTAGTTACACCATTTTTTAGGATACTTCAAACCCTTAAACAAATACATCTTTTTTTCTCATTGTTAATTTTCTTAATAAATCTCAACTTAATATTGAAAAATAATAATGCCTAGTTTAACATCGAAAACTACAACGGTTGTTATAGCAAATTAATAGAAAATCAGATGTAATGAATGACAATTTAGAAAAAATAAAGACCGGAAATTTCAATAAACAAAATTATATATTACAACTAGAAACAAAATAAAACTTAATAATTTCTGTTTCAATTGACGAATAAATTATAAATCACGAAATACAGAAAAGAGGATGACTGAAACCAGTAGAACATATTATCATATTACATAAACCAGAGTATTCCATATAGCATGAGCAGAGAATTATGGATATTAGAGTAATTTGAATAGTTCATATCATCATGAATCAATTGAAGCTAAACCATCATGGAAAACCTGGAAGGACTGCCTGACAGTTTCATCCTAGTATGGGATTACTGAGTAGTGCACATCCACGCGATCGTGGATGAGGATTCCCACAATAGGACAAAACGGCCGTCCAGTGCTTCCATGTTTTGCATGGTGGTCTAGCTTCAATTGACTCATGATCTTAACTATATTCAATATAGATTGATTTCGTAAGAATAAATAGAGATTTTATTGGATACATCTTTATACTTGAGTAAGATTATTGTACTTTTTAATATGTGATAATGAAGAATTATTGCATGTGTTGTAAGGCCAATGAAATGTCACTGAGCCCTAGCCAAATCATCCGGCAGTTGGCTCACTGAATATCGAGTCCATCATCGATGCCTGTCAAGGTCGAGGATAACCAACGCGCATCAGTTAGTCGTACGCCATGGGATGGCCCATGTGGCAGTGGTCTTACCTTCGCTTCTATCTACTTTAACTAATATATTTCTATAATAACGTTCTCTGTGTTGTACAGTCTTCAAAGCATCTATAGTACCTTGATACGTCAATGGGGTAATCCACGTAATGTGCTGACGGCGAGCTGTGACTTCGACGTTAGCTGGTTCGTCACATCATTCTCATCCGTCTAACTCGAGTAGGCCTCCAATCATTCGACATAGATCATCTATGTTGGTGATCTACAGTGTAATTGATTTTCTGAATTAATATGAACTAAAACTGAATGATTTTCTAGTCATAGTAACTGAGTTATTGACTTAATCCCCCTTTAAGTGATTAGATATCAAACAGTTCTTACTTATGAGAAAATAAAATGCTCATAGGAAAAATATTCAATGTGGAAATTCAGTTGTTAAATTTCTACTCAATAACAAAATCACCAATACAGATACGGATATTACGACAGAAAACTAATGCGCGTTTCGTTCAATTTGTGACGATGTTCTCAATCACGATCAGATAGATAATGTCAAATAACACAATCACATCTATTAACCCTACTGTTCTCACAACAACAACAACAAGTGCCCAGTGATTTACGACGACGATCATGTTCATGATGATGATGACGAAGTTTATTTCTGTAATCTGTTTCGTTGCTATCACTGACTGACTGTCACATGAAACGAACCTTCTTCATCCATTACCTACCCTTTCTCTCTCTCACTCACACAATCATTCACTCGCTCTCTCGCACACACACTCTCTCTCTCTCTCAACATGCGTATATTCATGCATCGTGATCAAGCAGTATCCTGATGATAAGCAGCAAATAAATAACTGCCCATTTCACTAACACTTCACTGATCAACACACACACACACACACACACACGCTAATCGCATCAAACCAAAATACACCACACCACACCACACCACACCACACCACAGCACACTTGCATACTTAGAGAAAACGGATAGAGTGTTGCAGTAATTGATTAGGTTGTTTATTTATCAGAAATGTCTTAACACAATTGCGTGTGGATTTTTATCGATAGATTATGTACACACATGTATGAACGATACGAGTTGGTCGGAGAACTGTTCAAACATTGTTGAAATATTGTTGAAATATTGTTCAAATATTGGAGCGTACAAAATCCAACATTCTAGCCACACTGGCATACTCGACAATGATATCGGGAAGGTTTGGCAGTGTGACACCATGTGATACGACACCGAGTACTGGACCTTGAGGGGATGGAAGGAGAGGTCCACCACTGTCACCTGGAGCGGGTAACTGTCCGAAATTCTGACCTGATTTCACACAAATAGGATCGCCATTGGTCGCGTGTCGGCATTCCATTATAGTCGCTCGACCTGTGTCAAACAAACAACAGAACAGAATACAACAGAATAAAAAACAACAGAACAGAACAGAATAGAAGAGACAAGTGAATTTACAAGTGAATATCAACTGGCACAAATTATCCAACTTCAAACTATGCACACAACAAATACTCCACACGCAATCCCACATGTGCACCATATTCGACAATCAAGTCACTGTCCATCTCACCACCATCCCATCATATACATGAAACTGATTGACCACCTACTTCATGTACAAAAACACACATCCATCGTTTGCACACATATCTCATGATTCTTCTCTCGTCCAAATGATCTCACTCATTCACACACACACACACACACACTCACACATCCCATCCCATCACATTCAATCGCATCACACTTACCCAATGACCGAGATGCAGATGGAGTCACTCTCCTACTGAATTGTCACAGCTACATCGGAACACATTTATCGAGACACTGACCAACAAAACAACCGGAATAGATAGACAGAGAGACAGACAGAGTCATGTCGTTTGTTCACTAACTCCACCACCGCCACCACCTCCAACAACAACAATAACAACAACACTAACGACAACTCACTCACTCAATCACTCACTCACTCACTCACCTTTCTTTAAAATTCCACCATTTTTACGTTGTGGATCACGGTCGTTATCATCCCTTCCATAACCAACAATGAAAACCGGAGTTCCAGGTCTCGGTATATCCGTTGGCTGTGGCAGACTCAGCACTCTGATTCCACTCTGTAAGTCGACCGTTTGAGTCAGCGTTATAATTGCAATGTCGAATCCACTGAGTGTCTGTTTGATTGGTCTCCTCTGTCGTGCCGACGTACAAGACGGCATATATCCTGGTGCTACCACCACTCCAGACGGTTGGTGATGGATGCCTTGTTGGTCGCCATTCCTCAGTGTGAGAAATGAAACCTGAAATACACAACGTATGTCCACATTAGATATATGCAAACCACCTGCACACACACACACAAACACACACACTGACACACACTGTGAAATTAATCGATCACATTGAGCAACAATGTGTTTCAGTGTGATCTCTTACCCGAACGACTGGCAGCGGTGAGCAAACACAATGACCAGCTGTGAGCACTGCCCTTGTTGACACTAATGAGCCTGTACACATTGTTCTCTCTGTGGTCAAAAATGCGATGAACGGGAATTCAGTGCGTTGTTGCACAGGTTCACCACTACGTATCAACCATGTTGACACACGTTCAAATGTTAGACAGTAGGTGAACAGCGTCACCACCAGAAATCTCCATCGGTTCAACATCACTGTGTGATCGTTGCAATCAACCACCTACCTACAATCTTGCAACACATTCACCAATTTATATGCGTCAATATTCCCTGACTGTTGAGTACATGTGAGTGATTTTGCATGTGTGTCAGTGTCAGTGTCAGTGTCAGTGTCAGTGTCAGTGTACTACAATTATGCACTATTAATAAAACCGACTTGCACTCCACTTCAATCATGCATTGTTGTTGTTGTTGTTGTTGTTGTTGTCACGGTTTCACTTTGTGATCATGGTCATGACACGCCCCAATTATTAATGAGGAAGTGCACGATTCTCGTGTGTTTTTGTGGCATATTTTGCTGTATGACAATCTTGCTCAACTGTTCACGAGAGTATGTTAGCATAAGGAGGAGCACAGCACTCTTCATAGATCACATCATCATTCATCACTATCTTCATCACCATCGTCATCACCATCGTCATTGTGAAAAGCATATCATCACATGAGTGTGTTGACATGATGCATGATCACTGTCAATCGCAATTCATTCACAAACTACAACGAATCAAATGTGAATTGGTGGAATTTGTGCAAGTTGGACAAGTTGGACAAACAATGGCAAAGGAGATGCAAATGATGCTTCGAAGTAATATGTGACCACATTGACGAATCGACTGGTAGACAGAAGCAAAGCACGAGTGTATGATAAATGAAATGTGAGAATGGAAACAAAGTGGATGAGGAGATCACAGTAGTTGTATATGACATCTGCACATGGTTTGATCAGACCAGTTGTGATTGGTATTTATTCATTGACCAGTTACTCAAATGTTGTTTTGCATTGCTACAATCGAAATAATAATATTGATGATTGTGGCAGTGAGAGTGTAGTGAGACTTGAAAGGAATGAATAATACCACTGAAATCATAGTGAATGATATTTTACTACTGTGTGAGGCAATTGTTTTCTGTGCGTAACTGCCTGACACCCGACACCGTAGTAAAATATCCCTACAATTTTATATCGTTCACTTTAATTTAAATGGTATTATTCATGCTTTTTACGTCTGACTGCCCTCTCACTGCCACAATCATCAATCTTATTGTGTTTATTGTTGTGACGCTTAAGCTCCGCTTGTAACTGTACTAGGGTGCTGCTGATCTCTCGCCCGGGTGAAAGTGTAGGGTTGGACAAGTAGTCAGCAACCCCATTGCGTAGAAAACAATCTTGCCAAAAAGCGCTAACGAGAATAAGCAAATCAATTCACTTAAACTCTGAACTGGGAGTTGAAGGAAGAATTATGATGCTTTATGATGAAATTTGAGATACTTCTGAATTCACGAGACCGATTCTCTTCTACGTACCGGAGCAACAAGTTTCATATGTACACGGAACTTTCGGACAATGTGGGAAACCGTGGGGACCAGTCAAATAGTAAGAGAAATGAGGAGATACAAATTGACAATGCTCGGTATCAGGGAAATCCATTGGATGCAAGCTGGACAGCAAAGATTCGATCCGGTGCTACTGTATGCTTCTGTATTCTCTTCACGAAGAAGAAAATGCTTTGCACACTCAAGGATTTGCTCTGATTCTAACCAAGAAAGTACCTATTGCAATTATGGGATGGAAATCTTACAGATTCAGGATGATCAAAGCATAATCCACAACAAAGAAGGAGAATGTTATTCAATGTTGTGAACCCACCAATGATCACAATGACGACGATAATGATCAGGTTTATGAGAGGCTGCGATCGATCATAGCGAAGTGCTCACGAAACGACCTGACAATCCTGATTACAGATCTAGACACCAAGGTCGAAATGGACAACATCGGGTATGAAGATATCAGTGGACAACATAGACTGACTGGGAGAGAGCAACGAAAATGGTGAGAGATTTGCACATTTCTGTGCGTTCACGAAAATGTTTATAGGAGACACAATATTCCACCACAAACACATGCACAATGCACATGGATCTGACTGGACCACACCACAGAGAACCAAATCGATCATATTTGCAACAGCGAAATTATTCATCAGATTGAAGGAAGTCGTGCGAACCAGAAGAGCAGCTGACATAGCTTCAGGTCATCACCAACTGGTGGTTGCCAAGATGGAACTGAAGATAAACAAACACTGGACAACTGGACAAACAGCGTCACGTACGTTCAATACAGCCGTCCTTTCACATACTGACAAACTCAACCAATTCAAGACATTCCTGAACAACGCGTTCCAAGCACCTTACAAATTCTTCTCAAAGAAGGAGAAACTGCTCTGGAGCACAATCAGACAGAGATCAAACAAGCACTAACTTCAACATGTCAAGCGGTTCTGTGCCGTAACATGCATCGTCATAACGAATGCATCTCTATGGAAACCCTGTTTGGATTCAAGAAATGAAGAAGGCGAACAAGAAGAGGAAGAAGAAGAAGAAGAAGAAGAAGAAGAAGAAGAAGAAGAAGAAAAAGAAAAAGACTGCAATTAAGAATAATGGAACAAGAGAAGAGAAAGTCAAGGCATGAGCTGAATACATTGAAGCAAACAAGCAAATGGAGAGGAGCATTGGAGCCGACTAGCAGAAATTTGTGGAAGAGCTAGCAACGACAGTGAAACAATCTGCAACTGGGGGAAATATCATACAACTACTATATGACACAACGAAGAAACTGGTAGGGGAATATGGTAAGTGAGAGAGACCGATCACGGACGAAGAAGGGAAGACAATTACTGAAATCCAAGAACAGAGGAACAGATGAGTGGAACATTTTGACGAACTGTTGAATAGACCAGCTCCATTGAATCCACCGGATATCGAAGCAGCACGCACGCACACACGCACACACACACTCACATAGATGTCACTCCGCCAACGATCGAAGAAATCACCATGGCCATCAGACAGATGGAGAGTGAGAAGGCAGTAGGATCTAACAACATACCAGCCGAATCACGCAACTCGGATATGAAAGTAACTGCGAAGATGCTACTAGATTTTGAAGACCTCGATATCTGAGGAGAATCACGGAATATGGTAGACAGATTGAATGGAACTGAGCGATTCGGACTTCTCAGATGACCTGTCCCTCCTATCGCATATACACCAACAAATGCAGATGGAAACAACTAGTGTAGGAGCAGCAGCAGCAGCAGCAGCAGCAGCAGCCTCTTCATCAGTTGGTTTCAACATGCACTGGGGAAAACGCAAGATCTTCAAATACAAAACGGAGAACGCCACCCCAATCACGCTTGGTGGGGAAACTTTGAAATGGGTGGAAATTTTCACTTATTTGAGTCACATCATTGGTGAACGTAGAGTATCTAATGCAGATGTAAAGTTGAGGATTGACAAAGCAAGGACAGCATACTTACAATTGAAGAACAACCGTCAATCAATATCAATGTGAGTATTTTCAATACGAACCTCCAAATAGTTAGTTATATTGTACAGAGCTGAAATTTGGAGAACCACAACAACCATAATCAAAAAGGGACAAGTATTTATAAACAACGGTCTGTGTGAGATACTGAAAGTCCGTTGACCGGACAACATCAGTAATAGCCTAGTGTGCAAGAGAACAAACCAGGCTAACATGTGAAGAGGAAATTAGGAAAAGATGTCAGAAGAGGATAGGACACACATTGAGGAAATCAGCAAACTGCATCACGAGGCAAGCGATAGATTGAAATGTTGAAGGAAAGAGGAGAAGAGGAAGAGGGAAAGAAACACTGAGTCGAGAATTTCATGCAGACATGAGAATAATGAGTTGGAAATGATTGTGCAAGTGATAGAGAGAGTTGAATGTAGAATGCTGGTGGGCGGCTTTTGCTACTCGACGAGGAGTAACAGGCGGAAGGGAGTAATGCAGAACAACATCTGAGTAACTGGTCAATGAAAAAATACCGACCAAAACTCGTCTGATAAAACCACGTGCAGATG